GTATTAAATAACATACTATAAATGCTAGTTTATTTTAACGTTACATTAAAATAGTTGTTATAATAATTATATTTTTATAAAATTATATTGTACAACACCCATCGTATCCCCAGTTTAATAAATAAAATTAATTTAATAAAATAATTGCTATTATTATCAGTTTTAATTTCAGTTTATATAACAAAAATTTAAAAATATAATTATACAGTACATCATGAACTGGGTGAACCATGATTTGCGTGAACTAAGCATTTGTGTGAACCAAATCTCAAAACATAAACTACTCCTGCATAGACATAATGTTTAAATAACATGATTTGTGTGAACATGAACTGTGTGAACTAATGATCTGTGTGAACAAATTGTAGCTAAAATCATGTGGCATTCAATGCATTTCACAATGAGTTGTGTGAACCACACAAAATAGCAAATTTATAGCCCTATATAGATGACAGCACTAAAGAATTTCGTACCCAAAATGGCTAATAAGTTGTTTATATTCAATGAACCATCGAAATAACAGAAAATTATGACTAATTCTCTTAAAACACTTATAAATTTGTATTTTAAAGCAACATTTATGTATTAACCATACTTTTAGTTTATAATGATTTGTGTGAACTAAATGGCAAAATTTACCAAGTTCACCCAGTTCATGATGTACTGCATTATTGATTGGTATTGTGCACATACATTTTATTGTATTAAACAAATAACTTGTGAGACATCTAGGGCGATAAAAATAAACAATTTAATCAACGTTAAACTTTAGAATAATAAACTAGAATTTTTTTGCTAAATTTTAAATACATTTTAATAAAACAAAATTTACAAAATAAAATCTAATATACAAATAATTATATATTTTACAATAATAAATATAACTTAATAACATAATTAACAAATCAAATCATACAAAAATTAACCCAACACACTTATTACAAATCACCAAGACCGCTCATACCTGCAAACCCAAACTCGCATCGGGTCTGTTCGGTATTTCCCGGCGGTATTACCGCCAACCGGACTCCCCGGGCAAACAACACTAGTGACCCGTCGTCTTGGGGTTCACTACCGGTAATTACTGGTAAGCGGGCGTCAGAGGCCGCTCGAGTCACCGGCAGCTGTTGTACATTTCGGCCGTCAATAACCTGTGATTTACCGCCCAATGGGAGCCGCACGAGGGGGTGAAGCCGGTCGTCTACTTTGTCAAACAAGGTAAAATACCCGTCAGTATGTATTTGTTCGGCCACTATATTTGGTAGGATAGGTAATGTGGGTAGTTCCTGGCACCAGATGTAGGCTAGTATTATTTAAAGTAATTATTTGTTATTCAATGTTTGGGTTTAGTTATTGATTTAGTAATTAATTTTACTTACTAATTATACATATTGTTGTTAAAAGTTTAAGCATGGTGTGCAAAATATTGTAATTTAT